CTCGTACATCTAGGTACAGGCACTTTTATTCCGAATTCTATTTCTATTTTTAATAAGCAGGTAATTTGCCAATAATTGTGTTTATTTTTAACTTCTTTTTTGTGTGAAGTTTTTATTGGGACATATTTTTTGTGTATTTGTCTGTGCTCTGTATTTTTGTGTTTTTATTGTTTTCTAGGCCAAAAAAGGAAAGCAATTTTCAGAGTGTTACAAATTGGACGAATGAATAAATATATCTTACATATCTTATACTACTAGGCCTTGGTCTAGCCTAGTAGTAGTACCCAAGGCTAGCCTAGGTAGGCTAGGCCCGAGTCTAGGCTAGCTAAGCCTAGCTAGTTAGGGCCTAGGCCTAGCTAAGCTAGTTAGGAGCCTAGGCCTCGAGGCCAAGGCCTAGCCTAAGCCTTGCGTAAAAAAAGATAAGCCATTGTTAAGTGTTATGTTTCCATTTCCAATTAAAGCATTTGTTAAGTCTTACCTAGTTTAAAAGTACGTTCGTATCGTATACACCTCAAACACTCAGATTTTTTTTTTAGTGTTGACGTTAATTTCACGGGAATTTACGTATGTTGACGCAAACTTACCTACATTGACGCAGATTGTTATGGTTGACGTAAAATGACGCGATACTACCTTAAAAAAAAGTTTCCCTATTCTAAAAATGGAAGAGCCAAGCCTACGTCACTGTTTTGCAAAGCCTGGCTGCTTTGCAAAGCGTGGCTGACTTACGTCTCGCTGCCGGTCTGCAGCAGGATCTCTATCGCTTTTTTTGGCGGCAGTGCCAAATCGGCTAATGGCGCTAGTAAAATATTATTTTAATTTAACTGAGAAATGTCTACCTAGGCCTAGGCTTAGGCCTCGTATTACCTATTCTTTAATGTCGGCAATTTGAATTATCCCCATGTCTGCTTTATCTTCAAGGTACGAAGATTATAAATATTATTTTCAAGTTGAAGACGTTAAAATAGACGGTAAGTAAGGACAAGCAAAGTAATCCTAGGCTAGGCCTAAGCCTAGGCATAGTAGGCGGATTAAAGACGATCGGGCCCACGAGACTATCGGGCCCAGACGATCGGCTCCGATCTTCTTGAAAATGGGCCCAATCCTCTCGTGGGACCGATCGTCTTTAGGCAAAATTGAATATGGTTTTTTCTTAATTACTGTAGCCCTATATAAATTTACAGAGTTAGGCCTAAACCATCACATTACTCCACTGTTTACATTATTAAACAATAATTTTACCTAAGTCTGGATGTTTTCCAAAAAACATTTGCTTAATAAAAAAATTACTGTAGTTCGCAAAACAAGAAAGAAAGTCTTGCTTTAGGGGCGTTTGAGGTCATCGCTTAGTTAGGGAGGTGGGCGCACAGGGAGGTTAAACTATATTGCACTAGGGCCTAGGGAGGAGTTAATTCACACACTTCCGATTATACCAAATAAAACTATAATTACAGTCTTAATTGCCACCTTGATAAGGAAGGGTAGCCAGAGAGTTACCATTCAGAATTTCCTTTTTTATTTCAACTTTAATTAGCCCTATTACTGTACACGCATATATATATATACAGTATATATATATATATATATATATATATATATATATATCGGTTGTTACTCTGAGTTTTGCGCGTCCGGGATTTTCTCTTTTGTTACTGAACCGATTTCAACCAAATTTTCACTCTATGTTCAGATTGGTACTGGGCAGGTAATAATAGGCTATGTAGTGTTTTCCAAAATTGCGTCATTTAATAATAATTAATAAAAAACTGATTTAAATAGTCATTTCAGAAGGATGCATACACGTAAACAAAGTAGCTCCAGATATTCATGCCTCTTTCAGTGTTTTCTCACAGATATGAGCCAATATGTCTTTCTCAATATTTATATGTTGTTATTATTTTGTATCGCTATAATTTTTAAATATTTACAATTATCTCCGCAATACAATCCAGTCAATTATATCACACGCGTAGTAATATATACTGGACCGTAACATATCGTGTCGATCTGCTGTCATTGTGTGGGTCAACAAACAACCATGTGAATCTTTCTCGACAGGGAGACTGCCGACAATCGACGGAAAACAAAAACAAGATACATGATTTTCATTGAAATGTTGTGAGTACAGTATTACTTTATTAATAGGAAGAGGTTATTCGCACGGTATCGTGCGAATTAGGAATAAGAACTTATTCGCACGGTATGACAGCTGTTACGTCATGAAACCTTAAATGCTGATTGGCTAGGTCCACCGTGCGAATAAGACTCAAGAGCTTATTTGCACGGTAGAATGTTGTAGATAGAAATACTGTATTGATAATTATTTCACGGCATACCGGGTTTACCGTATGAGTTGGGCACAGCACAGACAGTCGATTCGATAACCCTAAATGAAGTGCAATAGGTCCTAGCTTAGCATTATGTCTGCAGACCTTTTACTCTTTTCTTAAGCTATCCTTGAGAAATTGCCATGAAAAAAGCCTTTGTGGAGTATGTGCTGGTGGTATTATAGTCCCCTATCATAGGGCCTAGTAGTGATATTGATTTTTGTTCCATTCAAAAATATTAAATGGGGAAACAAAAGAACATTAATTACTTAGCACCAACCATGATGGGAATTGGAACAGAGGAGGATGACAGGATGCCAAACTGATGCAAAATTACTCGATTTTATGTGCAGTTTTAATAGGGTTTTAATTTTGTGGGCTGCAGTCGTGCTGCACTTAGCCCACCTGGAGACTCGCACATCTCTAAAAGTCTCTCCTAATCCCTCTCTACCTAAATCCTAGATCCGCCATCGAATGTACTATATACTGTACTGGAAAATAAGATTTATATTGATTTATATTCTTCACTGCCTTTTGGACCTTTTCCAATGTGTGGGAATGTTTTCGAAATGCTACTGGATACATTAATTGTAGGCCTAATTATATACACAAACCACATAGCGCTCAGATAATTATCGAAAGATTGTTGTATGTACAGTACTCTACAACAAGGTTATTTGTTAAGACAGTGTCATTACATTCTACGATGCTGATTTGCTACGTCTACCGTGCAAATAATGTATTATTTACTATTTGCATGGTACACAATGTTTGTATGATATCTGAAAAGGTATTTCGGTTCGATTAAGTATTCCCGTAACAAATTAAGTAAGTTTCTCGTAAAATATTTAGGTCATTAAACATTTTGAGACGATACTGTGTTAAATATTGTTAATTCACGATGTACTGTACTAATTGGGAATAAGAACTTATTCGCACGGTTAGACGTCATGAAACGTAAAATTCTGATTGGCTAGGTCTACCGTGCGAATAAAACTCATAAGAGCTTATTTGCATGGTCTACCGTGCGAATAACCACTTCCTTATTAGTATTTAGTTCCAAAGTACGAGCTATAGCCTATGGTTTACCTGTCAACTAGGCCTGTCTTAACCTACTTGGCCTAGGCCTTAGCCTAGCTTAACTACAGGCCTAGGCCCTCGCTAGGCCTAGCCTAGGTTAGGCCTAGGTTGTAACACCACACATCACCACAAACAAGTGACACAACACCACACTGGCCATAGATAGCCAATAACGATCATTGCCACGATCATCGCAGGCATCTTATTCTAGCCCACCCGGGTAAACATGTTAAATGCTTTATTAAACACCAAATATAGTTCCCTAGGCCTACACATTATTTTCAGTGACTGTCAATCCAACATTAGGCCATTTTAAAAACCTGTACCTACAGTAGGGTTAGGCTACGCAAGTGCCTAGCCTAGGTCTAGGTGCTGTTTATACACTGTCACTGTTTATAACCCACACAGGGTTATTAGGGCCCACATTCATATGTGCAGGTGAAAGGGTTACTTTCCCCATTGATTGAGTTAGTAGGTAGTTGCCACACGACATTGACCTTAACTTTAATGTTAGTACCCAACATGTAGCGCGATAGCTCCGCCACTTTTGTAAAAAAAACGAAATATGCATATGGGCAAACCCACTAACGTACGTTGAGCACTTAAAATCCTGAAATTAATGTACTCCGCAACACAAGATGAATAAATTACATGACATCATCCGTTAATTTTAAAGTCAGGCTCCGGAGGAAAAAAATTTTGATATGTTGTAGAACTGATTTTTCTAAGACAGAAAAAAGTTGTTTGACGAAATACTGAGCAACGGTGAATGAGATACAGATTTTTGAATATTTAAAAACTGGGGGAAAACGGTGTAAAAATGAGTGGTTACGCCCCTTTTTCTCCAGTTTTTAAATATTCAAAAATCTGTAGCTCGTTCACCGTTCCCCAGTTTTTCGTCAAACAACTTTTTTCTGTCTTGGAAAAATCAGTTCTACAACATATCAAAACATTTTTTTCCTCCGGAATCTGACTTTAAGGTTCACTTCGTGCGGCGAAAAAACTGCCTAATAACTATAGTTGCCATAAAGTTGTTTAATGTTTAACATTTATATTGATTTCTTGGTTGTTGCGGTTATCCATACCATGGTCCATAGGCTCAACAGCATTCATCGCTTTAACAATGCTTCTCAATTATTCTTTTTAAACTGTTTTTAATTATTGTTATTAAAGCAACACTAGTACAGTATAAGTGACTAGGCGACTTGATTTATTAAACTTTATTTTTATTTCTCCTTTCTTTTCATGCTGTTCACAGTTGTATCCAACAACTATCTTTACAGCAGAGAGGGATTGCTTGGCACCTATTCAACCTATTAGTGTTCATCTAAAAACCGACCAAAGACAAGAATCCACCAAAATCAACGTTAATGGTTTTCTTTAAACTTAACCAAACAGATACTTTTGGAAAAACACCTACAATCTTGATATTCCAACGTGCTGATGTTATTTTACCAGTACTCAAAAATCACTACTACAGAAGAATTTATAACCCGATGTTGCAATACAACAATTCTTCAATCTATAATAGGCCTATAGAAAATTCAAAAGTAACCATGTTAACCCTCAATATTATTGATAAAGTAAAAACAAGTGTTTAATTTTTATTGGAAGCATGTTTCCCAAGATAAAGAAACCACACTTTCTTTCTAATGTTTTTTTTAATTGTTAAGAAATATGAGCAAAGTAATTTTATTTAGAAATTAATTATAAGCACTTTTTTTATTTGAGGCTGGATAATATAGCAACACAAATTTCTCTCATCAGAAATACCAATACATTGGGCTTTACACTATAGATTGTTAAAACCAACTTTAAATTTGAAACACACTACATTGAATACAATGATGCGGGAAGCTTAAGTTGCTTATATCAGAGAGCTGATATTTACTTAAGTAATATTAAGTAATAAACAAGATATATGAATATGATGAAAACCACTCTGCAGGGGTGGATCCACTGGCGGGGGGGGGGGGGCACGTTCTCTCTCTTTTGACACTAAATTTTTAAAATTTCAATGCATGTCAGTGTTATATGTTACTCTCTTATCTATTCTGAAACTGTTGTGCCCCCCCTTTTGAAAAATTCTGGATCAGCCTGTGCTACGAGTTAAAAAGGTTTAAGAAACAATTATGTTGAAAATACTTTTATACTGCCCAAAAAATTAAACGACGGCTACTGATTAAACACAGACTTGATCTGTAATGAAATTACAATACAAATATTTCTATTATTTCTTTTAATGCTTTCATGACATTCATTCTGCCAACGAGAATGGTGAAGATGATGATTTCTTTCAATTCTTTCATGACATTGATTCTGCTAACGAGAATGATGATGACGACGACAACTACAGCAGAAAGGCATTTAGTTTTTATTTCAGTTCAACCAGAACAACAACAATGACAACTAGTACCAATGTAGTACAGTACTAGTAGTAAAACTTCATTTTGGCCTATTTACGAACTACAAATCAACAAATATAATGCTGTTTTTTTTTTGTATGGTCGTCACATACCATACAATTATTAACATAAATTACACATATTTTACATAATAAACAAAAATGAAACGCAGAAATTAAGTGATATAGATACAAAACATAATTATTATACAGTACGCAAAAGTCAATTTAGTAAAATAAAAGTAATCTATAGCACCAATGGCAAAATAAATTATGGAAATAAAGAAAATCCACTCCACAAAAGTAAACTATACATTACGAAAAAGAAATTTGAAATATTAATAAAACAAAGCAAGAAAACATTAAATTAGTGATTTATGCAATGTTTATAGTATTATACTTTTTTTTTCATTAATTATTAATACAAATTCAGTTCTTGAAAACACTTTCATTGATAGAAAACGGTACATCAGGGCTTAATCTATTCCATTCGATAGCACTATCATATGAAATACTTAAAAAAAAAAAAAATTAGTCTCATGCATTCAGTTTGCCTTGAATTCCGTCCGAGGGATGGGTCACATAATGCAAAACTATTTAAAATTAAAACGGAACAGTAGAGAAAATCCGATTAGAATGATAAAATAAACTAAGCATATATATATATATATATATATATATATACTGTGTATATATATATATATTTATGTATTATGTTTCATTTTCTGATTGTTTTTTATGGTTAATTTGAGAGGGTCCGGACCCCTACACCCCTCCTCCGACTGCACCTTGTCTTGAGACAGGATTTGAAACACGCAATAAGACCTCAATCAAATAACACTAAGGTTATATTTGAATTATACTACATAATACCATACATTCTATTTAATATTTCTCCATAACAAATAAACATTTAGGCTGCTATTGAATGATTTATTCTGCTTTATTCTTTACATATAAAAAAAAAACATGAGTAAATTGATCTTTATTTCTTGCCAGATGCCCTAAAAAATTGTTGTCTCCTGATGTAAGATATTGCCAATTTAGGCCTACATTCATTGTAAAATCAACTGTAGGTTATCTTTATTCCATCTTGATGGGTAATCTATGAAAAAAAACCAAAAAACAACTTTTTCCAACCAGAACCTTTTTATCATTTTAAAAAAAGAAGGGAAAACCAACAATTTATATTTTTAGGCCAACAGACCGTCACGACGGCGGAATCAATATATATTGCTTTGATAGAAATCCACATTCCTTCTTACCTGAAAAAAAACCCCCAAAAAACAATATTAACTAAAGCATTGTGCAGAAGAATTAACACTCCACTAGGCTATTGAATAAAATAGACATCAACACGGCATAGATAGCGACCCCCAAACAATGGGTGTGGGATAATGCCTATATGGTGCCCCATACAAATTTCTCCCGACCGAAGTTGTCGGCTGCCGAAGTCATGAGAAAATGGGTCCGATCTTCTTTGCTAGCCTAGTAGTAGTACCTGCTGCCGCAGTGTTGGTTTAGACCTGAGCCTACCCTCTGGACGGCAGTATGAGGAGGTCTGCTGGTCCTTCTCCTAAATAACTACAATATCTTACTGTAGGTGAGATGAGTCGTTGCGGTCTCAGTTGTTTTGTCTGGCGGAGTCAAGCTTACAGTAGCTGCGAATACAGACTTTTTAAGAAGGCGTACCCACAACTCGTACACCCAAATTCTACCTAGGCCTAGGCCGGCATCTGGGCCTATTTTACTTGCACTTTTTCTTTTTGACTTGTACCATTTTGTTGAAAATTTCTAATTTTCATTTTGGTATTGTAAAAAATAGATAAATTTTAAAAAAAATGAAATTGTGAGAAATTGTTGCCAATTGGGTCACTGTTTAAGATACATCTTGAAGTGGATTTGCCTCAGCAAGATACTGTATCCTGACTGAAGTAATGGGGTCAGGGCATTGGTCCGAAGAATCTTTGGTCCGAAGGGTATGGTCCGAAGGTCCATTGGTCCAAAGTTATTTCAGTTATATAGAGAAATATATAATTGAAAAAACACATATTAGGGACTACCAGTGCATACAATTATCGCTTGTTGAATGAAAAAAACGAGAATATGGAGAAAAGCATCTGGCATCACATAATAATTGTAAACGTTGGTCACATTAAAGAGAAGGATCTTAATTTAAATACGCAATGTATCATGTAAAATAAAGAATCACTCAAGAAAGCAGATAAAAAAACACATTCATGATTTCAGTGGTCAGCACGTCTCTAAATTATAGAGTAGGCAATTGAAGAGCCAATTTGACACATAGCTAGGAACATTATATTTCCCCATTTTAATGTTTATAGCGTCTATAGCATTTTAAAAAATACTTCTAGGACATAAATTGTTTTAATGCCTTTTGTCTGTTTCTTTAGTGCTTTTCATAGGCATATATATTTAAATTTTTACCATTTTTATAGTGCTCTTAGGGTCCCTTTGGAAATAGGTTTTGCTCTTTTTTTTTTTTTTTAAAGAAAACTTTTAATGGGCCATCCTTACATCATCTTTTATTGTTATTTGTTTGCATAAGAGAAGTTGTATAAATAAATTGAACTTGAACATGATAAAGACCAAAATTGGTCTGCTCTCACAATCGTGCGAAAAAACTTCGGACACCTCAATAAACATACTTTTTGAGTTGACAAAATCTCTCTCTGAATATCATTAATTGAATAAAATTGAAATTTGAGAAAGAAGAGAGTACACAAACCCACACAACTTCCATAATACTGATCACCACCCATGCCCCAGGATTTTATTTTTTTTTAAATTTATTTATTTATTTATTTTTTTGATGAGGGGTTTTACTATTTTGTAATTTCTTATTGAAGCAAAAATTTTCGGCGATTAATACACGATTTCAAAACTTACATTCCTGGAAAACCAGGTCACTAAATTCAGATCTTTGGACCAAAGTCCCTTCGGACAATGGACTTTCAGACCAAAGACCTTTCGGACCAATGGGCCTTCGGGACCAAAGACCCTTCGGATCAAAGACCCTTTGGACCAAAGGTACGCACCCGAAGGAATATGCTACAGTATGCTGAGTATTAATGGAAGTAGGCCTAATAGTAGTGGCTTGTAGACATGGAAGCATGTCAACGTGGCCCCAAGTATTAAAGCTTAGCCCCATTAATGTAAACTTGGCCCCAAGTCAAATTACAAACGATCAGGCCCGGACCAAAGACGATTGGGCCCAGTTTGAAAGGGGGCCCGATCTCCTTTAAAATGGGTCTGATTGTCCTGGCCTAGGTTAGACTAACAACTAGGCATTCTATTATATAATAATTGTATAGTATAGCATTTCAGGAGCGTTAAAAGTTTCTGGTACTGTATGTTTAATATTAATAATAATACCGGTAATAGGTTGATTTATAAGGTGGAAAAAATGTCTGATTTCCATCGCTTTTTCAGGGAACTACTGTATACACAAAATTACAAACAAAACCGCCAAAAAAGGTTGTATGGTCGGTCATTATGCATGCATGTGCAGTTAACAACTCGGAATATGTCAGAAGAAAAAACAGGCCTCACATTGGCTTGTTTTTCTTCTCAGACATCCCAGGGAACCCCTGCAAAATCTTGGAAAGTGTTTGTACAGTATGGATTTGTTACAAGTTGTGGATGGAATTTTGGTAAGAAGTAATGTCAAACGCAAAGTGGGATCCTATAAAAAAAAAATGTTGTCCTATAGTATAGTGACAAATCTTATAGTAATTCATCGATAGGAAAATCATCCAAAAAAATCCAAATTGAATAAGATATTTTTATCCTATTTATTTTTTATTTATTAATTTTTTATTTATTTATTAATTTTTTATAGGTTTTGTATTATCGAAACCTATAGTGTAATTCCTATAGGACCCTATAGGGTTTGTCCTGTAGATTTCTTGAAAAGCCAGTAATATTGAATCTGGTTTGCAGTATGACTGTGTTGTAACAATTATTGTATACCCCTTATAGTACAGTTCTGATTCTGAAGGATATAGATGTTTATAAATGCTCGGAGACAATAATTATGAGTACTTTGAACACAGTTGTTATAAGTTACAATTTTATAATTAAACATTTTCTGTCAACAGACAGTGAGAGTCTTATTCTTTTGCATGATTCATTGGCTGGTAAAATTCAAAGAGTTTTTGTAGAAATGTCTAGATTAAATCAGCGAAAAATCGTTTTTGATCTGATTTTTGAATGAGCTATATCCTTTGATTGGATTTTTTAAGGTTTTATTGCTGCTGTTGGCAGACAGTATAAAAGTTAGTAGGCGTACGTCATATACTTAGTGTAATATCGTCAGTTTTGGTAAAAATAATGAATGTTTATAATATATCTGCTTGCTACAGTATCTACGGTATGCCTATTACTTCAATATTCATATAGAATATGAACGAAATGTTTGTGAGAAATGACCATTAAAACAATACAGAATTGTATACTTTAATACTGTGTCCGAGCATTTCTACTTTAGAATCAGTATGCTGTATCTATACTCTAATAACCAGATTCAATGTTGCTTTTTACACTTTCACAGACCATGCTTAGCTGTACGTAAATAGTGTCTACGCATAGGGATATTATAATTACAATAGTGCATTTAATTTTCACTGTGTCGGCTACACTGTCTTGACCAACTACCAGGAGATTTTAGCCTAGAACACTTCCAAAATTCAAAATTCAAATTCGAAATATCTTCATTGGCAACCAAAGTAAACATTGATTGAATTATACATAAAAGCAAGTCAAAAAGCATAAATAAGAAATACAGTAAAAACAGTTAAAAATTCAATAAAATAATCTGCATTATGCTTTCATCCACAAGCAGTGAAAACTGATTTTTGTCTTGAGGGTAAAGTCAAGTATGCATATTCATGTGTATAAGGTCACCTAACTGACTTTAAATAGCACCCACTATAGTTTCTGCCTTAACTGTATAGGAAAAAACATAATGCATCCCACCACTTACAGTTACAATTTTTGTGGTGGTGAGGTTGGAGCTTGGAGTT